GTGGGCGCCTGTGCCCGGGGGCACGAGGGGCCGGGCACTAGGCAGGGGGGAGCAGTCCCGTCACTGCCCCACGTGGGCTGGGAGGTTTTCCCCAGGGGGAAGCTTTTCTGGTGCCCTGTGCCCATGGTGCCAGCGCCTGCCCCCTGCCCTCGCTTTGGAACCTCCCCGGCTCCTGCAGCTCCCCCTCCCTCATAGCCTGCACCAGGCCCTGGGCCCCCTCGGGCCCTCTCCCAGCACTTCCCCCCTTGGGCCAGCACTGCCGAGTAACGGGCCCGAGGGGCCTGGATGGGTGGGATTGTGGAGCTGCTGCTGGCAAAGCCCCTAGGCTGCTGCGGTGCCTTCTGCACATGGACGTCAGGTGGAAACAGCCCTTTAGCTTCGTCTCTTCGCTCTCCAGCGTGACCAACGCGAGTGAAGTCTGGAGCACCGATTTCAGCCCGGAGAAGCTGGAAGAACATGTAGGTAATACCTGGCTGGCTGAGATGCTAGTCGCAGCGGGCACCACGCTCTTATAGGGGACCTGCAAACTTGGGGGGGGAGGGGCCAAAGGTGTGTTCAACTTTCCATATAAATTATGAGAGAGCAGGTTTTAAAAGCCATGGGTTAAAAAACAGCAGTTTGGCCCATTTAAAAACATCCCAATTGGTCTGAAAACCAGAAAAAATCATCAGCCCAGAGTGGAAATCTCTAATGATAACTCTGAAGTTTAAAGGGTCGTTCTCCAAACCTTTAGGAGCAATAATTGATATTTATTGTGGCTGTCAAAGTAGGCTTGGCAAAATTCAATGTTAATTTTTATAATGTTGATGGATAATATCAGGGTTTATTTTTAAGCATTTTTAAAAAAAGATGTTCATGTATTTACATTTTCACTGGTGGGACATTAGTGAAGGCCAAACACTGTTTAATGCCTGATGCTGAGTAAAAAGTTAAACTTTAAAACAAAACACAAATTGTCAGTGTCACATGTCAACATACCCAAAGTAAGTTCTCAGGTGACACTTTTCTTACTTGGCCCATCTCTAAACTTTGACTGTTACCCATGGAAATATTTTTTCATGGCTTTATGTGAAATCTACTGAATCTGCCCAGAGCTATGCATAGGTACCTAAATGGGGGATTCAAAGCAGGTACGGAAGTGCTCTTCCTCCCCAGTGGAGAAAGGCACAAGAACCAGTGGCTGGAATTTAACACCGGGAAAACTTTGCTTCGAGATAAGGCCCGCGTGTGTAGTGGTGCAGGCGGCTGTAACTGCGCCCTGCGTGTGCCCCAGCCGGGAGCTTGCTGTCTGCGAGATCCCCCGGCCCAGCAGCCGTCTCGTCGCTAACGATCCCTTTTTCCGGAGGAAGGACCCCTCCTCTCTGTGCTGGATCGAGGTGCCTTGAAATGCCCCTCTACATCCAGGGCCTGGTTTGCCCGTGGCCTGCACCTCGCGTGGCTGCTCACACCGGTGTCCAATCCGCACGTGCTTTGCACCTGTGCTCACTGGTGTCGGGAGCTGCACGTGGCACAGCAGCATCAGGCCCTGTGTGAGCCTGGCTCTGGGGTCTCTCTCTTTCAGGCGGCCCAGAGTGGGATGTCTCCTGGCGATTACAGCAGCAGGTTCAGGTGAGCGAACCAGGGGGGCGGGGGCGGGGCTGGAAGCGCCTGTGTCTCTGCGTTGTCTCCCTGCGCAGAGAAGCCTCTGAGCGCCGAGCCATTACCCTGACGGTGCAGGACAGCAAGGCCACCTTGCAGCTGAAGGAAGGAACCTGGAGCTTGACCTTCGACCTGTTCAAGCTGCCCTGCTCTGAAGCCAGGAAACAGCTGGAGGCCCTGATGTTTGGCTTAGTGGGGTGTGTCAGCAGCCTGGAGAAACGCCTGGCAGGTACTGCGTGTGCATGTGTGTGCGTGTGTGTGTGCGTGTGCGTGCATGTGCGTGCGAGTGCGTGTGTGCGCGCGAGTGTGTGTGTGTGTGTGTGTGTGATTTTTGTCTTGGCAGTGGGGGAGGGGCAAGTGGGGGAGGGGCAAGTCCTATTTGCTGCCCCCTCCTGGCTGGTC